GGGGAGCTTGGGACTCGCTTCCATGTGTGGTCTTATGTCTTCAGATTCGCCAGCCTGCTCAGTCGAGGCTGCGAGTAAAATCCCACCACTGAACAGTGAAAGCAGTCCAAGGTATTCACAGAAGAGGTACCCAAAATGAGGGTTTCGTTTTTCAAGTTGACGATTCAGCCAAGACGGGTTAGTCACAGCGGTAAGGCGCGCGGGCAACGGCCGACGAATATGGGGTTCTTTTTGTGTAGACTACAGCACGCGCCTCCACCCCTCCCTCTTCTGCCCCCTCCCCCCCCCTCGTCTCCGGGTTCGTCTGTCGATTACGTCTCTTGGCTTGTTCCTTGTTTGTTTGTTGCGGGTTTGCGTACGACGACGTGCATGATTAGATCTTACATTGATGTTTTCCTTGTATCCTTGCTAGCCTGGGTGGATTGGGGTTAGAGGGGCTAGAGAGAAGGGGGGGGGAGGTGCTCCTGTGACTAGACGAACTACGTTAGCTGCGCGATGGGGCCCGATGCAGGAATGGGACCATGATCACGATATCTCCTCGACTGGTGGATCGTGGGACGGAGGCGCAAGCCAGGCTGGGGAGGGGGGTGGGTGCGGAGATCAGGTGGTGGTGGTTGAGTGTGCACAGTTCGAGACAAACGCCGGGGCTGGTGATCGCCTCGGGATCGTGGCTTTTTCTTCCGAGGAGGAGGACGAGGAGGAGAAGGGCAGCTGGGGGGGTGGGAGGGATATGCTTGCGAAAGGAGGGGGGCATGGAGGCATCTCTTGTTTAGAGCCGCTATGGGGTAAGAAAATCATGTGAAGCGAAGCACCAACGGCGAACAGGCGGGAATATGGCAATCCTGATCAAGCACAGACTCGAGCGGGTATGGATATGGATATGGACATTGACGAGAGCCCCTGTCCATCTCCAGGGACGCTACTTTGACGCCCATTGCGGGATGCTAGTAGCTGGCTAGCAGCGTTAGTGGACGTGATGCCTGACCCTGTCCTGTCTTGCTTTGGACGGGCATGACTGAGCAGTCTGCGAAGCGAAGGATAAGCCTGAGCTATCTTGCTATATTCTGCCCACTTGCTCATGTTTTTGAGTGGTAGTCGTAGCAGCCGCAGGCAAATGCGACATGATGCCGGAGGATCAGGACCGGCTGAGGACGTGTAAATGTCCGATCCAATGTAAGGCACGACCTTGTAGCCAACATCTGTTGCTGTCAAGTCGAGCCTTGCTGTCGAAACAAGACGAGTCCTTTCTTTTGGCTGTCAAAATGCAATGCACGACATTCGTCAACAGTACATGGGATCAATCAAGACAGAGAGCCAAGGGTCTTCTGTAGATTACTATGTACGCCGTCATCCCCCCCCCCCCCTCCATCGTCTTCTCCCGATTGTTGACACCACGCCCCCCCCTCTTTTGTTGTTCCGTACCATTGCCTGCCCTGAAAGATAGCCTAGTCCGTCCTTGTCGCTAGACCTTTGTCGACCGGGGGGGCAGAGGACCCGTAGCTAACGAACACACAGACCTGGACGCGGCCTTGGCTGAAGGGCCGCAACGGCGATCAGTGTTCCCCCCCCCCAGCCTTCATCCCCTCGACGTCTGTTCCCTCTTCCCGTGCGCGATCCGACCTGCCTGAAGCGTCTTGCTAGGGCAGATTCTCAGGGTACCCAGATAGGCTTCCCTTCTGCCTCGCTGCCCCCATCCCTCTGGCGTTCCCCACTAGACCTGAGAGGCACAGACTTGTTGTTACAGGGGAACTGGAGGGTTGACAACGAGAGAGGTGACATCGTGTTCTGTTGGTTGCGTGTACATACCATTCTGGCGTGGTTCGCGCGACACGCAGGCCCGGTTCGTTGCCCTTCGTCGGAGGCCGAAGGGTGGGTGGGTTAGCATGCGCTTGGCTTGTTTCTGTTGGACCTGCGTCTACAGTCTGCAGTTTGCAGTCTGCATGATGCAGGTGGATGTGGATGTGGATGGGTGATGGGGGAGGACAGAGTGCGTGTGGAGGACGATGATGGCATCGCCAGGTACATTGCAGAGATTGTGGGGGAGCAGTGATTCATGATCGGCCTCTGGTAATACGTCTTAACCTTGACCTGACTCTGGCGCCGGGCGATTGGCGGCAGGGCATACATCATCCTCCTTGGTCTGTTGGAGACGAACGCTACGCTACCGTCATGATCTGATGCCTCGCGAGACCGTTGGGGTCATCTCAGACAGCGTGATGTTTTTGTGTTGATGTGCGTGAGAGAGAGAGAGAGTTATCCAGGCTAACTTGATGACACGCTAGCATTATTGACGACGATCCTGAGCCGCTGGTATGGCCGAACCAATGTGCATGGATACATGGTCAGCATGCTTCCATATCGCGACATCAAGATATGCCAGAGAGCTGCCGCAACGGACATTGCCCAATCGATATGGAGATGTGTAACGGACGAACCCCATATACATTATACCATGTACCTCTATCTCAGGGAAGCGGGAGCACAACGCATCCCTTTGAAAGAACCCATGCCCTGGCATCCCCACGTCGGACGTTGCCTTCTCCCCACTTTAGTGTTGCCCCAGGCCCCCCCAGTATGTGTCCTTGAGCTTGACCATCGTCTGCAAACATTGAAACGACGTGGCGTGCTTATATCGCACCCTCGCCATTGCGTGAACATGGGAGCAAGGGACGGGGAACCTAGCTCCTCCATGTCTGGGGCTTATTTTCCACGATGCTACCGTGTGCATCCATCGTAGAACCCAAGTCGGAAGATCTTTTTATTATGAAGAAAGAAAAAAAAAATCCGAGTGAAACGACATGTATGTACACCCTCTCGTAGAGGGCGAGATCTGCTCGCAGATGCAGAGTGATGCAGCGATGCAGCGATGCATGAGGCAGGCTCGTCTTGGCTTCGCACGTTTTATGCACATCCACCCCCCCTCCTCTTCCACCCTCCATCATCTTTCATTGAGGCACACCATGCTTCCCATCTCGGCCTTGCCTTCATCATGGACGGCACGAACGACTCCATCTTTCTCTATTCGACCACCCACTTTGGGCCCCATCCACCTGGGCCATCGTGCCGAGAGGGGATCCCAATGTGCCCAGAGCGATGAGCGTGCCAGCCCGCATGTCGAGAATCGCCCGGCGGCATCGGAAGTCTGTTCCACTGCAGCTCCCTCGTCGACGGCAGGAGGTTCGTCTCTGCAAGGAACCGACGTGTCAGAAAAGCAATATCCCCAGAGGAAGGCCAGCGGCCGGTCCATTCGCCCACCCAACCACACACCCCAACAGCCGAGTCGTGGGTGTGCATGTGCGCGCGTTCATGTGTGTGTGTGCATGTTCTACGCATGACATGACAGAATGTGCCACCCTTCACAGCACACAGCACACAGCACACGAGCTCTTGACAGGAGCCGTGCTCACGTCCTCTCCCACCGACTGACTCTTCTTGATCGCTTGGCGGCTGATTGATGTGCGAAAGAGCCAGGAAAGAAGATCCACCGAGAACCCTCATCCTGCGAACAGTCTCTCCGCCAGACACGGCAGCACAGACGTCGCTGCGATCTCCTCGCCAACGCGCCATGTCTGTTCTCTCCACATAGGATGGAGATGGACGAGGAGAGCCTGAAGGCGCAAGGCACCCCAACATCTGCGCCGAGACAAGAAGACTGAATGAGCGAGCGAGAGAGGCTCAAGTGCCTTGGCCCCATGGACCCCATCAATTCCCCCTCCGATGTGAGACCTGAGCCTGTTTTTTTGCCCGGCCCCTGCACCCCTCTCAGGACCCTGGAACCCTGGAACCCTGGACGCCCATCGCCGCTAGGAGGGTTCACCTTTGTCCACCAGGCTGCGCAAGCGGGAGTACAGGCGAGGTACTTTCGAGGTACGAGCGAGACTTGCTGTATGTCCCTCGCTCGGTCGTTTGCCTTACCCGACGCGCCGCTTAACTCGATCACCGAGACATCGCACCTTCCCTGTTCTCCCCCAAAGAGGCACGCTCGACAAGACGTCTTACCCAGCCAGCTGAGCGCCACGGCACGGTCGTGCTATCAGCAGAC